TTGTCTGGAAAATACATGGGAAGAAAAGAAAATCGATGTCTAATCGCTTGGAGTGTGGTCAGAGGAGTCGTCGTCGGTGATTGGCTTCTTGCGCTTGGAGGAACGTGTCGCGGCTCTGACAGAAGAAAAAAGACGAGAAGATGGCGGCGGAGTAGGTTGCGGCTGAGCAGGCGCGGTGGAAGGCATCGTCTCAGTGGAAGCAGAACCGTGGCAACCCTTTTGGAGCATGTGCAGGAGTCGGCAGAGCAGGCCATTGTTCTTTTTGGTAGAGTCCACCATCCAGCGGCGGTACTCGGCGTCCTCCGGGTTGTCGGAGATGTCGCGAAGCAGGTACTCACTTCTGTAAGGCCGGCGGAAGTGGGCCTTAAATTGCTACGTGGCCTCGGTTTGAGCTTCCAAATCCTCGATCTCCTCGGCATTAAGATGAACATCGGGCCGAAAGCAGCTGCTCCAACTGGGGTGCTCTCACCAAGCACAGGTGCTCTAGACTCAGAGTAGAGATACTCTGTTCCTGGAGAGAAACCGATATTTGTGGCAACCTCTAAATCCGTCAATGATGGCTGTGGCAACCTACAAAACAGAACCCGCTTGTCCCGCGATGTAAATTGGTAAATGGTGGCATCGTGTAATATCTCGCAAGAGATGAGAAAGGCGGTGTCCATGAACTTAATCTCCTCGATGCAAGTCGAGGTGCCAATATCCACTCCCAAGTGCAAGAACAACCGAGTAAGGAGGCTCCCGATCTTCTCCGTGCTAACAGTCTTACCCTTGCCATTCTTGGTCCTCGTCTCAGCTATAGTCCCGGTGAACAATGCCCCCATGTTGACGCCCACGTCAAGCTCACAGCTCAGCCCCGGTTCTGCGGAAATGGCATCCCTCACCGCGTTGTAGAGGAGAACCAGCTCGTCTACTCTTGCCTTGCTAGCATCATCCCGTGAGAAGAAGAGGGTGCTAAACGCTTTGTTTTGGTAAAGTATATTTTGCATGAATATCTGGTTAGGTCAAAAGTACACCTGAATTTCAGATTGTTCAATCAACAAGTATCTAATTCTACTAGCTAATTTTTGGATGTATAACTCCAATTCATATCCCGATTGAGTAAAATGGGTAGGAAAACATAATGAACATGTTGATAAGGTCGGTCTCTAGCCTCCAAGCACTATGAGAACAATGCATATGTGTGCACTCAATTTTCTCAAAT